GGCTCCTTCTTTGGAAGCTTGGAAGCAGAGGCTGGATGGCCATCTGTCAGGGGTGATTTGAATGCACTATTCCTGCTTCTTGGCAGAATGGGGCTGCACTGGATGATGGCCCAGGAGGTCTCTTCCAACTCTTGGATTCTAAGGAAGCAGAAAGAGAGATTGAGAGAGAGAGAGAGAAGGGAAGGAATTGGGAGCCATTTAAGTGGGCCTATCGCCGTGGCTAATGATCACAACCCCCCTAATGGGACAGGTTTTCCACAGCTATCCTAATTATGTCTATAATCCGGGTCCTCTAAGGATGGGAGTGCCTCCCTTCTTTAATGTGGTGCCTGTTGTATCATGTGTCCGTTCATTTCCTGAGGTGTCTGCCTTCTTTGATTTGCAGCCTCCTTACCTCTATATACTTGAAGCAGTGGGAGGGGCTGCTGCCCATGGGACTGTTTGGAAAGGATGGCAAAAGTTGGAGGAATGGCAGTTGATGCTTGAGTCTGTGAGAGCGCAGAAGCCAGGGTCAGCAGTTCCAAGTCAGTTGAGGCCTGAGTTCTTTGGAACCACAGTGTTCTCTCACTTATCGCGATAACTGAAAATCCACAAAGTAGGGACACTATTCATTTTGAAATATATTTTAATACACCGTTGTTTTAAAATATGAAATGCCTGGCCTGACTTACCGGGCAAGGGCCTGTTGCACAGAAGCGGATTTTTGCCAGGTCCAATGCAATAGACACACAGGAAAGAGGAACAGACAAACTTTCCTCTTATCAGCGGAGGCAATAAACTTGCCGTGTTGCATACAAAATCAAACAGTGCAACAAACTTCCATAGTCCTTCTAAGTAATATTTATTGATTTGCTTTATTTCTATACCACTTTTCTCAGCCCTCAGGCGACTCAAAGCGGTGAACAACATCGATGCAAAACATCACGAGACCAGTATAGGGCAATTAAAAACAATTGTAACATAAATCATTAAACATCCGTATAACAATCGTTAGCGCCTCAAC